TGGCGTGCTTTGCTCGTACCTTCGGTGTCTTTGATTTACTGGAGCTGGCCAATAAAACACCAAACTCAAGGCTCCAAAACAGGAGTCTGCAACCCAGTGGGTGACATCACTGTAACTATGCCCACTATTTATACAGTCTGTGATGTCAAAATGATGTCACATGAGATCTTTTGAAGACACTGGATTTTGGTTACTTTACAACAGAACTGAAAACACATAAAATATCAACGTCATCTGTGGTCAGTATCCTGCCTCACACTGATGCTGGCATTAGACGTGCTGACACTGACTTCTGGTCGCCTGAAGTCACAGCCTTAACTCAACCAAATATGAACATCTAACAACGCTAGTGGTCAAACAATATAATGTATTCTGAAATGTCCCTTTCTGCATAATCAATATTTTGGATACTTGGAGTATTTTTTGATGCTGATACTTTTGTGTTTTTACTCAAATAAAACATTTAAATGCAGAACTTTTACTATTTTTTACAGTGTGTTTTTTGGTACTCCCATCACTGGTCTTCCGTGTGTGTGTGTGTGTGTGTGTGTGTGTGTGTGTGTGTGTGTGTGGTTGATCAGGATCACATGGCGCTGCAGTAAACAGATTCATGTTTACCAGATGGACACGTGTAAGGTCAGAAGCTGCCAACAGGAAGTTCCTTTTATGGAGGGTGACTCATCAGACGTGTGTGTGTGTGTGTGTGTGTGTGTGTGTGTGTGTGTTTGATGTGTTCAAAAATAATTTTAGTTCTTATGATGATAAAAAAAAATCAGAATTTAGAGCACATGTGGAGGTGAAGCAGTTATATGTAGGATAGTTATTTATTTACTGCATTTACTAATGTTTATGTTGTGCATTTAATATTAATGGTCGAATAACTAATATCTTCAATTGTTTTTAGGAGAACATTAATAACTGTAAAGTTTGTTGTGAGCAGCAGGACGGTGGTCGAGACAAACAGAGATAAAGGAGAGTGAATATTGGACGTATATCGAGTGGACACAAACACAGACGCCTCATAAATCATCTTGTTGTTCTGCAGCTGCTGGAGGTGGAAATAAGAAGCTCAAGGTAAAGTGTCAGTCACAATTCCACCTTAAACTATGAGTAAACAAGTTTAAGGAATAAACTGAACTAACATCAGACACAATGTGTGGGTGTTTTTTTTCTCAGTGTAGTTGTTGTTTCCATGTTTACTGTAGTTTGTTGTTGACTGTCTGTCTTTCTGTCCACTGCTGCTGCTGCTGCTGCAGTGACCCACATCACCCTGTAGGGATCAATCAGGTTTAATATAACCCAGAGTGACTCCACACACACACACAAACACACACACACACACACACACACACACACACGCTGCCCAATGCTGTTGCAGAGATTTTACCAGGAAGTCAGAGCGATTCTGGGAAGTGAGGCTCAGACGGGATCAGAAAAGAAACAATCTGCAGGAGAAGAAAAAACTATAAGACGAGTTTGTTTCCATCCTGACGACTGAGGACGAGGAAACAATACCTATATATACATATACACATATATAAATACATAATATAATCCCAAAACTGTCTGGACAGTGTGTAAAATGTGAATAAATATATACAACTGTGTGACATCATCTTTTCTTTTAACACTCAGTAATCTGCAAAAGACCTTAAACGTGGGCACTCTGCCGCCACGACTGTTTAAATGCCTTATTTCTGATCTTGTTTTAATTGAGTGTAAATGCTTTCAACTACACAGCTACACCTCAACATGTTTATCGTCCCGTGTTACTGTGTTTAGCGATCGTATATTGCTGTTGGTGTTTGTTGTGTTGTACGATTTCATTTCTGTTTCGATGGCTCTTTGTTTGCTTATTGATTGTTTTAAATGTCTTTGAAAATGTGGATGTTCCTAAATTTATTTCCCAAGTCTGAAATAGGAAAAGTCTAAAAACGAAAGTGTATATTTTACAAAAGACAATAAAGTTTATCAGTTTGAACATTAAATATCTTTGTACTGCATTCAACTGAACAATTATTGCACTCTTTTTTTATTTACACTTCACACAGCGTCCCAACTTTTTTGGAAGTAGGGTTAGTGAAGCGGCTGTTGCTGCACATTTCTTTAAGATTATAAGAGAGAGAGAGAGAGGATGACATACAGCAGACAGCAGCTGCAGGCTGGAGTTGAACCTGTTGTAAGGACAGTGCCTTTGTTCATGGGACACTCACCATTAGCAACTGAACTACCAGGCACCTCTGCTGCACAGCTTTTTAAAAAACTTTTTAGATTTCAGTGAATTATACTGATATTAGCCATGTTTGTTTTTTGTTTTTTTTATCATCGTACAACAGATAGTGTCATGTTGGTGGCGGAGTCCGCCAGTCTTGCCCTGTATACCTTTGTATGTCTTTATACGAGGGACTGACAGAAAATGCTGCAGAATATGATCCAGTTCTGTCAGTGTTTACTCTTCACTCGCCAATCAGAGCTGGATTAGCTTCATGCTAATGCTAACACGTCAGAACTACCAAAAACTGCAGTTCCTCTAACCGCCACTCGAGGCTGGCTCCGAAATAGAGTCAGTCCCCACAGACCTCCATGTTAAAATGCCCAACTTTACAGCAGAAATGTTTACAGCCTGGTACAAAACCAGTTTTGGTCTCAGTAGCTAATTTCAACATTCACAACTGTATGAGGGGCGGTTTTTATTTTATTTTATTATTATTATTTTTTTTAATAACTCACCCGTTTACATTTAATTACGTCTCAAAGTTATGCATATTTGACGGTGGTATCTGAGCTGGATTAGCTTCATGCTAATGCTAACACAATTCTTGCTGCCGCTGCCGCTTCACAGTAAAAGATTCAACAGGAGATACACAGTGAAGGGAGGGCTTTTATTGTGAAACAGCCACAGGAAATAGTGTATTTGTCTGCTATGAGCACATAAAGACACAGTCGTTTTCAGCGGATCAGTTTAAAGATGTTGATAGCGACTGACCAGCTTCCTTATTAAACAACTTCAGTTTGTTTGGCTGCACTGTAACAGAAACACCAGCTGCACAACCGCTGTTCACTGATGAACTAAGACTGAAATCTGTAGGATTAAAACTTTAACCTGAATTTGATAAACCATCCAGTTAGTTTCCATCACTGAATCTTCTTTCTTTAAAACCGAAACTGTTTTAAGATTATTTAAATAAAAATCGTAAATCTCACCTTTGTGTCGCTCCTCATCAGCTGCAGTAGAAGTGGTGTTCTCTGCTCTCCGACCAGAGGGGGGCAGCGCTGAGGTCAATACTGAAATCACACTCTGGACGACACGTTTATCGTTAAACTCTTGACTCGAATCAGGAAAAACACAAAAACATTTAGACTGTTGATGAGTCTAACGACACGATCTAACATCAACGTCCAGTTGGCAGATGTTCTGGAGCTTTCTACTGTATCACATGGTCTTCAACAGGAGATGTTGTACTTTTTACTGTGTACCTTTACTACATGAATCTAAGAATACTTGTGTACTTTTATTACATGAATCTAAGAATACTTGTGTACCTTTACTACATGAATCTAAGAATACTTGTGTACTTTTACTACATGAATCTAAGAATACTTGTGTACTTTTACCACTGATACTTTATAACCTGAAGTTTTGTCAGAGCAGTGAAACAATGAGACGTTTCTGCAGGCGTCTCCCTCCATCGGCAGCAGCCTTTAAATATTTGTCGAGTTTCCTGGAAGCAGCGAGGATATAAAGCTCAGTGTTCACAGTTTTCTGAGAAACTCACATGAGGGCGTCCTCGCTGCTGCTCCAAGTCACGCTCACAACTTTGACTTTTCTTTATCTGCATCTTAATTACAATGGTATTAAACTTTTATTAACTGTTATTAATTAACTTTAAGTCTTTATTAGTCTAAGGGAAAAAGCTGTGGGAAAAGTTTCTTTGAGCATTACCCACACAAAAAGAGATTTATACCGTTTTTATAACATTTAGGAATTATTGATTTATTCAGTTTAAGTTCAGTTAACACATTAAAAAACAAGAGGATAAACTTTCAAATTAAGGCATCTTAAAATGAGTCAGTCTAGATTTACCTGATTACAACTGTTGATTATGCCTTCACAATTTCAGCTCATATACAACTGAATACAAATCACATTGAAAGCTCTTTATAATCAGAAATTTTGTTCAAAATTAGTTAACAATATTTCTTGTATCATTAACAGATGAGAGATAAACGAATAAAAGTATAATTAATCTAAGATCCCTGCTTTTTGTCTCAATTCAGATTTTAATCTCAAACATGTGACTTAACTTTCAAAGTTTAGACTTTTATCTCACGTTCCTGTCTTTATTTTTAAAATTTGATTTTTTATTTTTTCATCTGAAATTTCTGACTTTATCTAAAATTGAATCTCAAATTCCTGACTTTGTTTTCAAAATTTGGATTTTTATTGTTAAATTTCTGATTTTATCAAAAATTCTAATTTTTAATACCAGATTCCTGAATTCACTCTCAAAGTTTGGACGTTAAATCTAGGTTTACTGAATTTAATATCAAAATTCCTTTTTTTTTTTTTTTTAATCTTATGTTCCTGTTGTCTCAAAAATTAACATTTTAAATATCAATTTCCTGACTTTATTTTCAAAATTCCAATTTTTAATCTCAGATTCCTGAATTTATTCTTAAAATTCAATTAAAAAAAGAAATCTTATTTTCGAACAATCGTATTTATCTCAGTTTCTTGACTTTATTTTCAAAACTATGACTTTTAATCTCAGATTCTTCACTCACATTCCGAATTTTGTTTTTCAAATTTGGACTTTTGGCCTTTTTATTGCAAAGTTAAGATTATAAATCCCAGATTCCTGAAATAATTTGGAGTGAACATACTTCAACAAAATGCCAGAGATAAATCATTCAGGTTGAGTTCAGTACATCTGTTTGTCAGATATCTCAGATGATGAAGAGCCTAAAGGGTTAAAAAGTCAAACCACAGTGAATTTGAGGGATATTTAACTTTAAACTTTATTTTCTTTAGTTAAATTTGAACTTTTACAAACTCTTCATCAAAAAAGTCACTGAAATTCACAAAGTGTTTGAATTTTGAGACAAAAACAAATAAACAGTTCAGCTCCAGTGCTGCTCTCACATCTCGTCAGTCCACCTTAAAAGCCTGGACACAGAAAGCTGATCCTCAGGAACTGTTGAGGAATTAATGAAGTACAGTGAGAGCAGCCACTGTTATTGTGTGTGTGTGTGTGTGTGTGTGTGTGTGTGTGTGTGTGTGCATGTGTGTTGTTGTTGAATGGCTTTCTGATAAAACCTAATCGCTGGCTTCAAGGAAAATGTGTGAAAGTCTGAAGTCTGAGGGAGACGGGACGTTCGAACAGGAAATAATCCGACAATGTTACAACAGTGAAAGGCAAGAAGAAGGAACACATTTAGCCTTTGATTTAAAACAGATTTGAATAAAACTTGTTTAATAAAAGCAGGTGTTATTTAATTAAAATAGGCTGAGCCACATTTCGTTATTCATGTTTTCACCCCAGGACTCTGTTTTTATTACCTCACGCTGAGGCATTTTACCTCAAAATTCTGGTTTGAACCTTAAAATTAATTTTTCTCAAAATTTGGACTTAAATGATTCTAATGTTATAATTTGTATTTTTATTCCACATTGACTCCTGATTTTTATCTTAAAATTCTGACTTAATTCTCTCAGTATGCCACCGTGTATCTTAAAAGTCAGACTTTCAACCTTATATTCCTGAAATCAATATCATATGACAGACTTTTAATCTTTAATTCTTCATCTCAAAATTCAGAATCAATTTTCTCAGTATCCCAAATTTAATCTTAGAATTCTGACTTTTAATCAAGATTTCTGCCATTTATCTGTAAATTAGGGCCCATATTCACAAACATCCTCTCAGAGAGCTCCTAACTTAGCCTAAACATTTTTAGTAAGGAGTCCTAGCTTAGGAGTGATTTAGGAAAGTTCTCAGAGCAGCTCTGAGCAAGGAAGGGACAGGACCTCAGTGAGGAGGTGTGGTCGACCTGTGGCTAGGCGTGATGCTTGGTTTTAACAGATGTGATTGGTTGTCAGAGACACACCTCTACGTGAGCCTGCAAGGTGCGGACACCCAGTGGAAATGAAATGAACTGCATCACAATATGAGTTTCCCAAATACATTGATGTTGTGATCATTTTGTTTCTGGCGTTATTTTTTATTTCACTGGGTGGTAAATGTGTGTGTATCCCTAATGAGGTCAAACACACACATAATTCCTGCACGATCAAATCTGTAGCATCACAGTTCATTTCGGAGACACCACAGCGCTTGCTTCTCAAGTCCTGGCGCCCCTTTGCCACACACGTCCAAGAACTGCTCCGTACAACACCATCTGATCCCTCCAAGGTCGCCTGGGTCAAGGCATGGTGGAGGGACCAGTGGAGGTCAGCAGAACCATCAAGGCTCCACCACTACACTGAAGACCCTACAGATGTTCCCGGACGACCCTCAACCACCTGAGGACAGGCGTGGGACGCGTCGGGGCAGCAATGCAAAAATGAGGTCTGGTGGACAGTGCCAACTGCGAATGCGGGGATCCACTACAAACTGTGGAGCACGTAATAACCAGCTGTCCCAAACACAGGCCACCGAATGGCGATTGGGGTCTAATTGACCTGGATGATGAAACACTGGATTGGCTTGCCTTAATGGAGCTGAAGGTTGGAAGTGTTTGGAGAATATTTCTCCGACCTAACTCGGGACAAATTAAGCTCATGTCTCTTAAAGTCCTCCTCTCTGCTCCGAACTGTTTCACCCCAGGAGCACTTTTAAGGTCTAAGATGCTCTGTGAGTAACTTTTATTTTTACAAGAACTTAGTCTTAACTTTAAGGGGAAATTCTAAAGACAACGGCACAATTCTAAGAACTTAATTAGAAATCTGTCACAAGGAGCAACTCTCTGAACAAGGAAGCTTTGTGAATATGGCCCCCCGGATTTAAACCTTGAAAATCTGATCTTATTTTGAGGTTATGATTTAACAGATTAAAATCTTTTGCTCCGTCATAATAATCAATTATCAGAGTCCTTGTTAAATTATGTAATGACATAAAAAATGTAAACGTCATCAGATGAAAATGTGATTAAAGCTTGATTTGATAAAAGAAGTCTTGTATTAGAGGAATGATGACACAGTGACTGTACACATGAATATAAGGGATCACATCAGGACCTCCAGGACGGACGGATGGACGTCAGCAGCCTGCAGACTCTGCATCAGCCTCTGCACTGTCGCTTTCTTCCCTTCACATCGTCTCCACTGAACCAGACCAGCCAGGACCGCCCCGTGAGTACTGAGCTGGTGATCGGACCGACACCGGAACAGATCCTCCACAGACAGACCCAAATCCATCAGGACCGCCTCCCACTCAGAGCCGAGCCGAGACGCCAGCCGGGACAAGTCCCGATCCGAAGGAACCTTCTGGAGAACCGAGCCGGGAACCCGCCAGACGTCTGCAGAGAGGATGAGGAACATTTTAGTGTATTCAGATCAGTGGGATTAAAATCAGAGTTTAGAGATTAAATCTGACTTTTAGCTCTAAATTTAGACTTTGATCTCAAAAATCAAAACTTCTGAAATTTTATTCCAAAATTAACTCTGAGAAAACTGACGATAACCTCAGAATTCAGATTTATGTAAAAGTATCATGATTTTTTTTCTCTCAAATTTTGGACTTTTTGGACAGAAATTTTAACTTTTTATTTAAAAATTTGGATATTAATCTTAGAATCTCGATTTTTACCTCAAGACTTAGACTTTGATCTCAAAGTCAAAACTTCTTGGCTTCAAAACTTTAATCCTGACTTTTAATTATGGTTTTTATTCCAGAATGTGCTCTGTTGGATTTATTTTTTCCTTTTATTTCATGATTCAGACTCTTGAATTAAGAAATTTTAACTTTTATGAAATATGTGGATATTAATCTCAGACTCCTGTCTTTTATCTCAAAATTCAGACTTTAATTTCAAAATGTCCATGTTTATATTAAAAGTCATATTAAAAAAAATAGACTTTAATCTCAGAATCTCATAATTTTAAAATTCAGATTTTTATCTCAAATTTTCTCATTTTTAAAATTTTAATTTTGCAATTTAGGGTTTTAGCTAACAATCTGACATTAATGTTCTGACTCAACACATTCTCACCCCGACCTTGTCACATATTAACGTTTGGTTGTTGACTTTCCATGTCCACGTACGCCTGGGTGTGTTGGTTGCTGACGTTCTGGGACACCGTGTCAACTTCAGCCTGTTACATGCATTGTCTGTTTTCAAAATACACTTTTGTTTTCACAGGAAATGTACAGTTTGCATACAGTCTCTTTCAAAATAAAAGCACTACGTCAGTACAACACTGTGAACTGACGTTTTCTTTCAACAACAAAAGCAGGTGGTTGGGTTTTTTGAAATAGGTACAGCGTTTGGCTTTAGAATCTCCGCTCCCCTGACTGAAAGTCTGTGTTTGTTGGACACATCCCCCTGACGCAGCTGACAACTATAATGCGACCAGCCACGTATCATACCCAGGTTAAAGTGACAGCTTTTTTCATCAGTGCAGGAGTGCTAGATTTTGATGACTTCAGAGTGAGATCGGGTTGTCCAGACAAATTTAAAAAAGACTTTTTTACTTAAAAAATGACTTTTGTCATTTGAAGACGTGACTTCTCTGAAAAACTTAAATGAGCTTTTTTTTTTACTATTTTTTTTTGACACTTAATTGACAAAATTATGATACAAATAATCAGCAAATAAACTGATAATGAACAGAGTCATTGGCTGCAGCCCCCGTCTCCTTTATCACAGTGATGGATGTGAAACAGACGTTTCAAAATAATTCTACAGCATTTCAGCTTCTGTATAAACATTAAAAGTAAACTCTGGTACACAGATGTGTTATGATATGAAGCATAATGACTCAGCATTAAATTCAGTTTTGAAGCAGCAGATGAGCACCTCTAATAAAAGTCCAGATGTTGAGCAACAAACACGCCGAGGTTACGATCGGTGAAAAGCACTTCCTGTGTTACAGTGACCTAAAAGAAAAACACTGATTGCAACATGTTGACTGAAGACGAAGAGCCGGTAGTATTTTTTTCTTCTTTTGTTTTTGTTGATGCCGCCGTCCAATGAATGAAGACCAGACGGTTCAACCCCCCGCTGACCAGTAGATACTGAGAGTTAAGGTCACAGCGGAGCCACAGTACAAATACAGTTTAGTATTAAAAGCTGCTGGAAACTTTCACAACAACAATCTGAACGTGTTGATGAGACGCTCTGAGGTTTTCTACAAATGTTTTTGTCTTTTTTTAGCATTTATTGTGATCAAGTTTAATATCAGAGAAATAATAATATCAGAGTTTCACAGGAGGACAAACAAATGTCAGAAGTCCAACACATTGAGATAAAAGTCATTAATAAAGGTCAGGTTTAGAATCTTTAAGCCAATATCTGAATGTTAAACTGAAATTAAAATATTAAGATATCGGTCCAACCTTTGAGATACAACTTTGAATTATATGGTTAAACTTTGATCTCAGGTTTATGAATTAATCCCAAAATTCAAAGTCTGAATTTTTAGGGATAAAAAGTCAGTTTGGAGAAAAAGCCATATTTTGAGATTAAGATTTTAGAGTTAAAGTCAGACAAACCGGTCTCACTCTGAAGTCGTCAAAATCGGGCACTTGGGCAGTGACTTGCGGCGTCTTAAACATTGGCATGATACGCAGTCAGTCACCGTTCTAGTTTAACAGCGCTCGGCGGTATCAAGGGGAAAGAAAGATTAGTCTCAATCAATCAGTTGATGAGAAACTGAAGTCAAACATTTCTGCTTTTAGACCTTTGATTTGAACCATTTCCTGTCTCACATTAAAAGCTAACTTTAGCATCTGTTCAACCTGGATAATATTTTCCATGTTTTTGCATCTAAGTAGTCTGAGTGGGCAGAAGTTCGCTGCATAGATCAGCCTCTCATTGGGTGGAACGAGCCACCCGCTGTAGTCCCGCCCTACCACCTCCGGTTGTGTAGCAGTTTTCAACCGTTTTCAACATGTCCTTTACTAACTTTTGCGGTGTTTGATCTTGCGGGGATGTAGCCATGTTTCTGCCATGGTTCGCGTCCTGTAGGCGATATTTTTGTGGGCGTGTTACACCAAAACCTGTTTCCCCCCGGCAATATTTTTGCAAGCGCACCGTTGCTGTGGCACAGCCCAGAACGATTGTGATTGGTTGAAAGAAATACAAGCAGCCGGGGCGTTTTTTTCTCCAATCTTAAAGTGAGAGTCGGCCCAGCCAGACCTTTCTTTTCTTGAGAAAGGTCTGGCTGAGCGAGACTAGCATCTAAGTGACTAATACGAACACTAATTTTTTGAAATCTGTCCAATATTGAAGTGTTTGTTTTTGTCACTGACAGGCTCAGTTTGTTATTCTAAGTGTCTGACAACGTCATGGAAAGGATCCCTACAGAGATAGACCTTTATGTTACTGAGTAAGGTCCTTTTTGTTTAACCAGAGCCACCAGACTCCATTTAAATAAACAGTCATTTTAGTGTGTACAGAGGCAGCATGTCTTCACATCTAACTGGTGAATTAAGGGTTAATTTAAACTAAACCAGAGTTGGTGATTGTTGGAACAGTGGAGAGACGAACCAAGGCAATTCTTCTGAGTTTTATTTTTATTTCTGATCAAACAAAAAGGATCTCACTCTTTAACTAAAGCTCTATCTCTGTAGGGATCCTTTCCATAATGTTTTCAGACACTTACAATAACAATCTGAGCCTGTCAGCGGCAAAAACAAACACTTTCAGTGGACGTACATCGACGACATGAGAAAATAGGGTCCAGGATAAAAAAAAGAATCCCCTACAAATCTTTTGGATTCTTCATAACTAGTGTCGCTTCAGCTTCTAATTATATAATTATATTGTCATGATGAGATTTCACCTCATGTTAATTCAGTGTTTGGAATTTAGTGTAATATTTACATATGAGTGGTGTTGTTTGGTAGAAGTTTTTTTGTTTTTTGCTACTTCCTGATTCTAATATAATTCGGTTGTTTTGTGTGTAAGTGATTCATCTGTTGTCTTTTATGTTTGGTGTGGACTACAGGAAGAGAAGCTGACGCTCTGCATGGTTAATAAAATATAAACACTGATAAATAAACAATGAACGTTCCTCTGTGAGTCAGCTGAAGCCAGACAGCCTTCAACACATCTGAATAAATCCTCCTTGTTAACCTGTTTCAGCTCCTCTGACTCACTCTGGAGGAAAAACGTCAGCTGGAAAAAATGAACTCAGAGTTTTTTAAAACCTGAGAGAGCTCCTAACTTCAGAGGGCGGGAGGTGGAGGGTGTGTTCACGGGCAGGGAGCGTGATCTGAAACATCTGGCTCTGCAGCTTTAAGAGAGAGCGAGAGAGAAAGACGCTGCTGCTGCCAAGATTCCTGGAAAGCAAGAGGCAGTAACACAAGGAGGATAAGGAGGATAAGGAGGAGGAGGATAAGAAGGAGGAGGAGGAGGAGGAGGAGGAGGGAGGCCCAGGCTGGAGAACAAGCGCTCCCATCCTCCTCCTCCTCCTCCTCCTCTGCCTCCTCCTCACCTCACCTCTCTGAAGGTGTGTCAGACCTACAAGCAGTGCCTGCAGCAGCCGACACACCTGCAGCTCACCTGAGAAACACAGAATGAACTCATCGTAAACACTGTGTGTGTGTGTGTTTGTGTTTGTGTTTGTGTTTGTGTGTGTGTGTGTGTGTGTGAGACGTCAGTCAGAGGAGCAAACATCACACTCCGACTTCGTTCTTTTCATTTAGAAATGTGGTGTAATCTGCATTTGATCTTCCTGCACTGGTTTTCTTAAAACAATTAAACTTGTTTCACACGTTCCTTGATTCAGAGCAGCTGTTATTTGTCTGACGCACGATTCCTGGAAAACTTCCTGGAACTTTGAAGCTGTTCTGAGAATAATCACACCTCACTGATAGGATTGTAAATATGCGTCTGTAACTGATTAATCGTCGGCTACGGTGACATGCACACCAATACTCCCCTCTTATTCTGAATATGACATTATTCTGAATTTGATGCAGGTCATATTCCAAAATATTCCAAATCAGGCCTTCTCCTGGATTTAGCATATTCCGACTGAGGCATGTGGGACATGTCGATATTATCATTATCAGGACACGTATGCAGCTGATTGGGGATATGTGTCTCACTTGGGGTTTTTACCCTAGTTTATGACGCTTGTCTGGCCATGGTCGGCTGTGTTGTCATGGATACGTTATACACAAACTAACTCGCCAACATTGCAGTGAAAAACAGGAGAAACACACCTACTTTAATCATTATGACGGGTTTGGATATCAACAGGTTTTTGGATATGTGCAAATAAAAAGGTGGCAGAAGGAAGGAAAGATGGACGCTGAGCTGACACCGTCCAACAAGTCTACAAACATACA